CTTGGGGGTGTGGCCACGTTGCTCTGAAGCACGTGAGCGTCTTTGGTGCGTGGCTGCATTGCTTTTGGACCTGGCCGTGTGGCTTTGGGAGGACGTGAGCATCTTTGGGAGCCGGCCACATTGTTTTGGGACTTGGCCGTGTTGCTTTGAGGGGACATGAGCATTTCTGGGACCTGTCCACATTGCTCTGGAAGCACAAAAGCATCTTTGGGACCCAGCTGTGTTGCTCTGGGACCCAACCATGTTGCTCTGGGAGGATCTGAGCATCTTTGGGACCCAGCCACGTTGCTTTGGGACCCAACGACGTTGCTTTGGGAGCACGTGAGCATCTTTGGGACCTGGCCACGTTGCTCTGGGAGCACGTGAGCGGCTTTGGGTCCTGGCCATGTAGCTTTGGGAGCACATGAACATCTTTGGGACCCAACCACGTTGCTTTGGGAGCATGTGAGTGTCTTTGGGACCCGGCTACGTGGCTTTGGGACCCGGCCACGTTGAAAAAAAACTGTGGGACCCGGCTGGGGGGCTTTGGGACCCGGCCACGTTGCTTTGGGAGCCTGTGAGCATCTTCAGGACATGACCCCTCCTGCCCCGCAGCGCTGTCCCGTGGGGCATCCTGCTCTCGCTGCCCACCAAATTTCCCACCTGGGATGCGAAAGACCAAGTCTCACCTTGGCATGAGCAGAGGTGCTGGTCGCCCCCAAACCTACGTGGCGGGACACCCCAAACCCAGTACAGAATTGTCCCCATTCCCAGCATGGAGCTGGGTGGTTTCCAGTGTCACCTCTCCGTGTCAGCCTGTCTCAACAAAAAAAAGCCACCGCCGTGGCCGCTCTCCTGCCCCCGCGCGGATGGAGCCGGTGGGCAGGGAGCAGCCTGGCCATGGCGCTGGAAGAGGGGGAGCCCCCGCTCTGGGGGTGCTGACCCTCCCCTCTGCCCCAGGTCCAGCCCATCCAGCCGGCCCCGGCTCTCTCCCAGCCGGCCGTGGTGATGGCAAACCCTGCCCCGGCGGCAAAGGCTTCCTCCACGCCCGTCCCCATCACCTGCTCGGAGACCCCCACCGTCAGCCAGCTGGTCTCCAGTGAGTCACGGTGGGGGATACTGGGGGGATGCCGGGGACTGGGA